AACATCACATCAAACTCCTCAAGAGCCGATAATAATAAAAATTTGGATCAAAAGTCAAATTTGGAACACTATACTATTTTCAATTCCAAGTGGCAGTAACGTAAACAACTGGTTATTTTCAGATTAGGTAAGCAGGACCGAAGTAACCCAATGCTGTACTGGACATTATAATAATTGTTTGAGGAAGATTTTGGATTACTCTATGTCATCAAAAACCAAACGTCATGAACTGCCACAAGCAAGTTTTTTTCCCCAGAATCTTCAACTGAATATAATCCTGCATTCCGCGCATGCGCACTGGTCCTTGTAGGCGTATTAACCCATAGGAAAACTGTATTACTAGCAGGTATTTGTTTAAATGTCATTTACTGCCGCTCGGATTCGAAAATAGTTTACCTACATGGTTGTTATTGTGAACTATTGAAAAATTCAGTTATTATTCCCGGCTCTTGATACAAATCAAGAGTCGAGAATAATCAAACATTGAATAAAATCAGCAAAGCGAATCAATTCTGATTGGATTTTGAAACTTACCATTGACATTAAAGAATCAAACGTCGGATTTAGTGTAGCAACGTTCTGGACTGTACTACACTATCTTCAAATCCAGTAACGTGAATAAATGGTCATTTTCAGATCAGGTAGGCAGGACCGAACTATGACAATGGCCATTATTTCGTCTTATTTTGATAGCGGTTGAATTGTATTGAAAACCAAAAATTATGAAGCTTCAATACCAACTGAATACAATCCTGTCCTTCGCGCTTGCGCACAGGTCTTTATAGGCACATTAACCAATAGGAAGGCTGGATTACCAGCAGAACACCAATAAAAACATGTATTTTAGATAAATATGGATATATTAATGGATGTCCTGAAATTAGTTCGACTTAAGACGTTTTTAAAAGATCTATTTTCGACATCTAAATGTTGTTTGTAACTGTGTTATTTTTGCATTATTGGAGGTTTTTGGATATTTAAAAGACGTCCAGTGGTCGTTCTAAAAGACGTATTTTTTCAAACGTTTGTATTGAGGCCTTTTCAAAACGTCTGATTTCGACGTGTATGTGACGTTTGAAGTTATGACATTTACGTCTGTTGGATGTTCTCCTCAGTTACTTTAACGGACGTTTTTGAAACATTCCAACGTTTCTGAGACGTTTTTCAAATGTTTCTGTGCTATTAGGGTATTAAAAACAATAATAATTGTTATTTATTAGAAAAGTATGGCACCAAAAATCAATCATTACAGTGCTGCCAGATTACTCTTGTAACTTCAGTTGGAGGGTTGAAAAGATACTTGAAATTAAGCCTAAAATTAAAGATTTTTTTAGTTTTCAAAGGCTCAATTTTCCTTCATAGGAAATCATCTGTTAATCAGACAGTTTTTCAATCCACTTGCTAGAAAGGAAACGATGGATTGAGCGAGGAGGTGGAAATCTTCTATTCTACGGGATAGAGAATATATAGATCTCTTAGAGATCTGGGAGGTCTGTGGAAATTCATGGATATACGTGAAGATCCAAGAACTTTGGTTGCAGTCCAGAGGAGATACAAGGAGATCCATGGAAATCCAAATGATTTGCATGGAGATCCAAGAATATGCTATGTAGATCTAAAATATCCATGGAGATCTATGGAGTTACAACTATGTTCGCAAGCAGACCCATTGGAGATACGTGGAGATCCGGTGGAAATACGTGGAGATCCAAGAACTTCGACAGCAGTCGTGTAGAATCGGAACAGCGTTTTTTCGTGCGCATATCATTTTAACTATGGTACCATGGTTAATAATGTATAGTATATGGAGGACCAGAGGAAATACAGATATGAGAGGATCCATGGAAATTCAAATGATTCCTATTACCCCAGGGAAATTAGACCAAAAAAAGGGCCATCTGCAGAATGAGGCCGAAAAAGCTGAATTTTTGCAAAGACCTTTGCACAAAAAAATCGAATATGCCTACCCTTGTGTGTCTTGAGATATCGAAGGTCAAAGGTCACGAAAATCTGTTTTTTTGCGAAAATCTCGCTTTCAGTGCATCTGATGTCGAAGAACCTAAAACAAAACTTACGTAAAGTAGTATTTTCTACAAAATTGTTCATATACATTTTTCTGTACGACCAGCCGTTTTCGGAATATAGCGTGATAAAGCGGGAGGCGCATTCAAAATAGGTGATACTGTATTATACAGGCTGTCCCCGTTCAACTGGACAAAAATGCTAGGGTATATAGAGGAACCATAGAGAAGTAATTTGAGATAGGACACCGATGGTCAGAAGTGCGTCGTTTCCAAAATACAGGGTGTTGAAATTTAAACAACCCCCATTTCATATCACCTGAAGGGCTAATGCTAGGCTGTTCAAATTTTCAGGGATTATTGATGTAGGAATGATATTTAAAAATTCGTATAATGCACCCCCATTTTCTACCTGGAACCATCCAAAAAAAAATAATAATAAGAAATAAAATTTGAAAAAAAAGCAATTTGTTCCAAATTTTATTTTTTTTTGGGGTGGTTCCAGGTAGAAAATGGGGGTGCATTATACGAATTTTTAAATATCATTCCTACATCAATAATCCCTGGTAATTTGAACAGCCTAGCATTAGCCCTTTAGATGATATGAGAGGGGGTTGTTTAAATTTCAACATCCTGTATTTTGGAAACGACGCACTTCCAACCATTGGTGTCCTATCTCAAATTACTTCTCTATGGTTCCTTTATATACCCTAGCATTTTTGACCAGTTGAACGGGGACACCTTAATACAGTATCACCTATTTTGAATGCGCGCTCCTGCTTTATCACGCTATATTTCGAAAACGGTTGGTCGTACAAAAAAAATGTATATGAACAATTTTGTAGAAAATACTATTTTACGTAAGTTTTGTTATGAGTTTTTTGACGTCAGATGCACTGGAAGCGAGATTTTCGCAAAAAACAGATTTTCGTGACATTTGACCTTTGATATCTCAAGACACACAAGGGTAGGCATATTCGATTTTCTTGTGCTTCATTAAAACATCAAAACTAAGGTCTCTGCAAAAATTCAGCTTGCTCGGCCTCATTCCGCAGAGGAAGTCTAATTTCCCTGGGGTATATGGAGATCCAAAGAAAGCCTGGAAGTCCCAGGATATCCATGGAGTTCCAAGAAGATCTTTATAAATGGAGATTTTTTTGTCCTAAAGTTTAGTTATTTCTTCCAAATGGACCTTCTCTTGTGTAGATTTAGTTTAAAAGAAATATCTATTTTTGTCACCTAAAATGAATTTCTGTAAAAAAAGATGTATGTTACCAGTGACTGCATTTCATCAAAATCCGAAAAAGGCACTGATGAATCTATACATTTTTAAACATTTGAAATTTCTCTAAAGACAGATGGGTAGGGGAGGGAAAGGTATATTTTTATGAGAAAACTCTATTTGAATTGTCGAAATTCCGTTAAAAACCCCCTAATCTGCAACGATTCCAAACTAAGTATAAATTGTTTCAAAGACTCCTCAAACTGAATACCAAATTTGGTTTAAATCAGAGGAGGTTTACAGTTTTGAACGAGGTTTTGAACCAATTCCACTATTAATTTTGTATTACAAAAATGACGTCGAATTAAAAGCGAATAATCCAATGAACTTTTGGAAATTAGAAGCAATTTACGACCAAGGTTGAATATTGCGATGTTAATTGAATTTTTTAAGTCGTCATTATCCATCTGGAATCATTCAAATTTGAATCCACAATTTTGTTGAAATTATTCCATATCTGCCTTCATAATAGACAAAGATAACAAAAATGATGAGTACCACAGCCTCTGTGTTCTATACCATCGCCGGCAAAAGTGCATTGGGTTCCCTGTTGAAAAACTGGTTCTTCATTCAGGCGAACCTTGAAACCAGCCTCGTCCTTCTATTCCTCGCTTGTTCTCTGTCTAGTTCGCTAGCCTGCATCATCAACCATCGACTTTTTTTTTTTTTTTAATTTTTTTCGTCGGTTTATACCAAAAAATCGTGCGTTCTAAGCAGGAGGTCACGCACGAAAAATAAAGTGGATCAGCTCGAAGCGGTCGGCGTCACTTTACAAATGCGGTCCTTCGAGCCGGATCGTTGTTTTTGAAATTCGTTAGGCGCGCAGGTCCGGAATTGAAACCAGAGTGCATCGGGTCCGTGGTGACGTCGAAATTTGTTTTTGAACTACTGTTTTTTTACGTCACACTTTAATATTGATTAGTGTCACATACCTTTGTTCACTTATCGGACAAAGGAAATATGATGGGTTTTTGCAAAATAATCTCTAACAAAATTGCATTGACATTTAATACGTTCAATGCACCCATCATGCATTAACAAAAGATGACTATGTACTTAAAAAACAATTCGGAAACGATGTTTATGACTTTATTATCGCTTTGTAGTATTATTTTTGAAGAATAATAATGATTGTCGTTTAATCGTTATAATCCCATTAGGCTGGTATTTATTGAATACACAAGACTATATGGATTTAAGGACATTTTAATAGATCGTGTTCCAGGGGAGTTGATTGATATAAACACAATGGAATAATGTGATTTTTATTATTTCGGTCTTATTTGTATGTTGTTGAACTTTAAGTACTTATTCCCGGAACACATTCTATTAGCTTGATGGAAGTTTGGCACAAAAATAATTTTTACCTGGTAATGACGCGGCACCTTTATTAAAATATCTCATTTACTGAATTTGTCTTTAAAAGATTCTCACAAACTTACTTAGAAATATAGGTACGGTTTATTGAAGCAACCTCGGAAGTAAGAATTTACGCGTAAATTACAAAAGTCCTTCGACTTTTGTTTGCAAATGAAGCAAGTTCCGTGTATAGATATAAAAGACGCAAGGCAAGTCGTATGTTGTCGCCGATTGGTACTGCGTAGTAGCAGTAGTAGCACTATTGAAAGTTTTGCCGGCCGGCATTTTTATCTTGCCTACTATTTAATTAGCCGGCGTAAATAAAACTTGGTACTCACCTCAGTATTAATCGGATGAATCCTGATGATCACTTCATCCGTTTCCAAGTGATGGTTCATAACTTGACCGCAAATTTCGCGTCCGTTAAATGTGACGAAGCATTTTTGTTGCGGTACAAGTTCGGTGCCCAAAACCGATTGAAAACCTGGACCGATCAGTTCGGATTCCAAAAATTCGGCCGTGGTACTGCCCAGGTTTCCTTGTCTCGAATCGAATCGTACCGTGTATTTGGTATTCGGAGTGAGATTGATACAGTTGCTATTGTATTCTAGCGACGAGGCTGGAGTTTTGACTGCTTGGATAACTCCCGAGTAGTACTTGCCGTCTTCTCCGGGAGCACACACGCGCGTACCGATTATCGAACGCTTGGCTATTCTTTTGCCAGTCGACATTTTTTAATTATTAACACACAAGTCAAAAAAAAAAATTGGTAAAATAGTTTTTTCACAAGAAAACGTGGTCGTCGAAATACAGTCTTCTGACCAATAGTTTTTGCACGGATTGTTGCTGGGGACTAAAACACTCTACAGACACGTCCAGGACCAATTCTATGATTTTGTTATCGTATGATATGCACATACTTTATGTTAGAAGCCGGTACCGGTATTCGGTGTAGAACGCGCCAGCTAACAGGCTGAACAACAACTGATGCAGCGGCGGACGGTCGGCTGTTGTCGGAGCGAATTTGGAACCGGCCGGCACGATAACCATGCTGTAACAGAACGTAACAGCTGATCGTTGCGTTGCGCTCTGTCTTTGTCCTTCCATAGTCCGGACGGTGGGACAACGGCTCGGTAAATGGACAAAAGTCGTTTTAGAAATACGTATCTGGGCCGGTATTCTCGTTCTCGAAAACGCTCACCCCTTTTCAGTCGCTCGGCACTTCCAATGTAAATTTACATTAAAAGTGCCGAGCGACTAAAAAGCGGTGAGCGTTTTCGGGAACAAGAATACCGGCCCTGGTCCTGCTTGGAAACTTGACTCATTCACCCTTGTAAAATTTCATTGTAACTGAATACGAACATTTTAAAAACGATAAAACATGCTTTTCAAAGGTTTTTTACAACATCCTCTGGACGTCCTTTAATGTATCCAAAGATTGCCCAATAAACTTTTTTATGGTGCAAATGTCATCCAATAACAAATACACCCTTGCAAACAACATATTATGTATAGACGTCGAGCATGGATGTTTTGAAAACATCATAAATTGGGCTTTATTTCCGGACGTCCATTAGGTAATATTATCCATATTTGCAAAATAAAAAAATTAAATCAAACCCTAAATTTTTTTTGTCATATGTAAAAGACCTTAAGGATCATCCAGATGTTCTTCAGGAAATGATTTCTGATGGCAAAACGTACACTTGGACCGCAAAACATTGCTAACGGCTTTGCTGATTTTGTAAATCAGTTTTCATTGATGATGCTGACGTAACTTGCAGTAAATTTCCTGTAAAGTCGGTGGCCATTCAATTTGGATATAGAAAATTAACAATGACAAATCAGAATCAAGAGATGTTTCCTTTTTGAACATTTCACACTTGGTTTCTGTAATTGGTAAAGCATTAATTATCATACCAACATGTGCATTTACTTCTTTATCTAAATCATCATTTTCAACAATATCAGTCTTTAAAAAGTTCCTAGAAAGGGCATAAGCTAACAATAAATCTTTACCAGGTTTATATGGCTGTGAGCGCAACCTAAGCCTCTGTAATCTCAATGGTGTGTCATTCAATGACTTTTTAAATATATTTTCCGAAGGCTTATGATCACTTTCAACCACCACTACTTTCCCATAAACATATTAGTGGAATTTCTCACATCCGTACACTATCGCCAATAATTCTTTTTCAATCTGAGCCCATGCCTTCTGAGTAGCAGTCAATGCTCGAGAGGCATAGGCTACAGGCAAATTATTCTGTAACACCACAGCTCCCAAGCCTTGGCTGCTGTTATCAACTGACAAAACAACCTCTGTATTGACATCATAATATTTTAGTACGGGTGCACATGTGAGCATTTGTTTATATTTCTCAAAATCAGATGTTTCTTTATCAGACCAAATAAACTCTACATCTTACTCAAGCAGTTGTCTCATCGAGCTGGTAAGGGTAACATCCGCCAAATTGGGCAAAAACTTAGATACATAAGTAACCATTCCTAGCAAAATCTATAGTTCTTTTTTGTTTTTTGGATTGTTTAATTGCAAAATAGCACTCACCTTTTCTTTATCAGGACGTATTTCATTTTTTGTAAACACATGACCTATATAACGTAGGTACTTCACTTAACCCGAATTTACACTTGAGTCGATTGAAACGAACATTGGCACATTTAGCTCTGTCTAAAACTGCTCCCAGTCTTTTGGCGTGTTCTTTATTTGCTGCCCAAACTATAAAATCATCTATGTAAATTTCCACTACTGGAAGTCCATCAAAAATATTCTTGAATGTACGATGAAAAACTTCCGGTGCAGAGCACAGTCCATAAGGCATTCTCCTATAACAAAATCGCCCATACCACGCAGCATTGAATGTTGTAATTATTTCACTTTCTTCATGCAACTTGATCTGATAAAAGCCCTTATTGCCAGTCCAGTATTGAAAAAATATTTGCCCCTTCCATCTTGGATGCAATTTCCTCAAAAGTTGGAAGCTGATGCCACTCACGTACTACGGCTTCATTCAGATTTTGTGGGTCTAAACAAATTCGAAGACTATTGTCTGGCTTTTATACAATGACCATAGAAGTGCACCACTCAGTTCGTTCAGTCACTTTTTTCGAAACACCCATTTTCTCCATTTTATCTAGCTCACTTTCAACTGACTGCTGAAGGCTGATTGCAATTTTTCTTGGAGGTTCTACAACTGGCCTTTTTCTTCAACTGAATTTTATATGAATTTGTCAATTCACCAATGCCTTGAAAAATATGGTCGTATTTTTTTACTAGACTATCGATCACATATTTGTCTTCCTGTTCTACCGATCCTACTCTCTTTAACAGATTAAACATCTCAATAAATGGAAGACCAATTATGCATGGAACATTAAAGTTGACTACAATAAACACTACATTGTGTTTTTTATTATTAGTTTCACAGATAAGTGTAGTTTGTCCATAAACACCCATTAAAGAGCCTTCATAGTTCAATAGCTTTTTATGGGATGACTGAACTTCAGCATTAAGTTCTTTAGCAGTTCTCAAGTTCAAAACATTAACATCAGCACCAGTGTCCATTTTGAAACAAATTTCCTTATTATTGACCATTACTTTTTGCATCCAGCCAACTAAACCTACTTGTCCTACTTTCTGAACTGTGCTTATAAACATTTCCTGCTCTTCATCATCAGCTTCTACTGAATATACATTTTGAGTCATGTTTCATTTTCCACGACAGTAGGTACTTTTGAAAATGACCAAACTTGTCACCTGTTTTACATTGTCTTCTATATGCCCACTTTGATTTCGGGCTTCGTATTGATCTTTTTGTGAAGTAAACTCTCTGTATTGTCCTGATTTTTGTGCTTTCTTCACAATATTAACATTTGTCTCAATTTCCAGCTTTTTTTATTGAAGTTCAGCTAACTCCGACGCTCTACAGATATTCACACATTTTGTCAATTCTAATTGAGGCTCTCTTAGCAAACTATTTTTCACTTTAGTGTCTTCTATTCCATATACAATCCTATCTCTAACCAAACTATCTCGCAGATCTCCGAAATTACAATTTTGACTTAGTTTTCTTAAGTCAGTCACAAACATATCAACACTTTCACCTTGTAACTGCTTTAGTATGAAATAGGTGTCAATTAACAGTCTCATTTTCTTTTGGTTTGAAATGTACTTCAAAATGATGTAATAATTTTTGCCAGTCTTTCTTATCATCATCAGGTATCTCTAGTGTGTCATAGATTTCTAGTACTTCAGCTCCAATTGTATGTAGCAAAATAGCAGCTTTCCTTTCAGCTGTTACCTTTGTATTATCTTTCAAACCAGAGGCATCCATATAAATGTTAAATTGCTGTTTCCATTTTTTAAAATTTGTGGGATATCACTCTCAAGAGACATTTCTTAGGGTTGTCGTAAAGTTTCCATCTTATTTTAATTAGGAAACGTGGGGCTAAGAACGAATTTGACTTTACTTTCTTTACGACGAAATACTCACGTATTTTGTAAAAAATTCTTCTTCATAACTTATCCTGTCCGCAGCGCCATGTAAGGTTCGGACATTTGGAATAAACGAAATATATAGTTTCAGTTTCAAAGATTTATTTCAAGCTGAACTGAACTCATTCCGTCACTATATCTGTCACCCCTGCTCTGTCATACCACATATTACTGGTAACTACCTGACAAAGGTTATAATCACTGGTTTATTTTTCAAGTTATTAGGATATATATGAATATTTGGAACTTAAATCTAGAATATCTGTCATTTTATTCATTGAATTTTTTTCCTTATTAATCTTTAGTTAATCTGGTGTACGTAAGCATTTGCATCAGATAGCAAATCATTTGATACGGATTCATATTGTTCTTTTGTAATAATGATTGTATAACGCAGCAAACATTGATTATTGACGTTATGTATAACTTTTGAGTAACAAGTAATATAACATAGCGAACAGGTTAACTATAGGTACTTCACGCAGCTGGTGGAAGATATTACTGTAGAACATTTCATTGTTTACATTATATTAATATAATATTAGTTGTTACAGAATCATTATATAACGCCTTATTAACCTTAGCAAAGACGTTACAATATAATTAGGCTCTCCAAACTACGTGATTTTTCAATACGGCGACTGTGGAAAATTTGACATTTGTTTGTTTATCTTGAGCTTATTTGGAATATTTTCAAGCTAACTACAGTTTACTTTGCTATAATATAGTTTTCGAGATGCAGAGTGAATATTTATATTTGAAGACTTGAATCAGGAAAATAGGGATGTGGGCGAACGGTTAGTTTGAAAAAATGTCCAGTTGACATTTTGACCCAAAATTTTCACATCAATGAGGAAATGAAGGCGTACAAAATCTTAGATTCTTACAAGTAGGTTTAGTCACAAAACAACCACACAATACATTTTTTAAAAAGCTTTAAATTCTGTACTGTCATATACGGAATAATGAACTTCCGCCCCGCATCTAGATTATTCGCTTCTTCTGCAGTTGGAACATTTTCTAAATAAAGACATCTTAACACAGACTTAGTATTGTTCATAAACTATTGTTTGAATTTAATCCATTTCGGTTAAACTTAATCCCCGGTTAATTCCTAAGTTGGTTTCGAATGAAAACTTATGAAAAACTGAAAACGAGAATCAGTTTTGCTGTAAAATTAACCGTTTAGGTTTCAGTATCAAATTTACTGCGAGTAAAATTTTGTCCACCTTCTAGAAAATTCAGCCCACAGTGCGCTAAACCCAGAGTGAGACAAACTCCTCCGACCGTTTTGCGCACTCATGTAGCGGACCCCGGACACAGCTGATGAGGACAACAAAGCCACGTGACCCTCCGAGCTTCGCGCCGATTGGCCCGGAGCGCGTTGACCTACATCGGCCCCTTGTCCGTTCGGGAGAGGGAGAAAAAGGTCATACACGACTAAACGAAGGGGATCCGGCCCAAGCACAATCTTTTGCTGCTTTTTTTTTTGTTTCAGAGAAAAATCCTGTGTTCTGTAATTTTTGTTACAATTGAAGTTTAAAAGATTTATCCGGTTCGAAGGACCACGAAATACTCAATAAATACTAATGCAAATTAGTCGAGTCTTCTGCTCTAGAAAAATTCCGCATGGCTCATAATGTCGACAGTGTCATTCGTGTCAGTTTTTTTTTTTAGGACAGCAAATCAGGTGGTACCTACCAGCTTAAAAACCTCAAGGAGTATTTTTGGTACTACTTTGTGTAAATCAAATTGGGATTTAAAACAAAACAAAAAAATCAAATGTGATTTCCGAAAGACAATACAAAACGTTCTATAGAATCCCAGAATATTATCTCTGTACCCATACAGAGTTTCTTTAGAAAGTTAGAGGATTTTGAAATTGAAAAATGATTATATTTTTCAATCGGTATAAAATTTTGTCTACTCGCCGGCTCCCGCCTAA